GGGGGAGAGCAGGTGCTAGAGGGGCAGCTGCTGGCGGCAACCAGGCACTCGACAGCGTTGGTGTATGCCATGCATATCACCTTGTGTTGCCAGGACTGTTGCTCCCAGATGGTGCGGCATCGCTCCCACTCAGTACAGCACTCCTGGCGGTCCTCCTCGAAGTTGTGGGTCAGGGACTGGAGGCACTTGATGTGTTCCCTTGCCAGGTTGTCCTAGGGTTGCCTCCACCAGCGACTCTTGCAGGGTCATGCTGAGGGCGTGGGAGGCGGTGTACGTGCCATGCTCGCTGCTGGTCCAGCTGTGAAGAAAAGCAAGAAGGGCAATCCTTCCAGGAGACACTGTGAATGAAGACTGGCCCTAATAACTGAGCCAGTACCGAAGGTCTGGGTTCAGACAATGGTGATGTGCTTTGAGCAAGACCATTTGTTGCCTTCACAGCAGGCACTTTCCTGCAGGGACACAGACATCCCTGGGGAGCCTCGCTACCTCCATGTCCCAGGGACAAGCAGGAATAGGAAAATGCCAGCCAAGCCAGGAGCCTGTGGGCGGGAGGGGGGAGAACGGAGTATCTTGGCTTCCTTCTGTGACCCACACACACCAGAGGGAGAACTTCTATCCCTGCCTGCTGGAGGACGGGGAAGGGAGTGTTGGGGGAAGTGTGTGTGAATAGCAGAGGCCACTTTCCCTATAAAGTGCTACAGAGGTCCCCTTCCTCCTCCTCCTCCTCTGCCTGGCAAGTTCCCATCTGGGGGATCGGTGTCCTCCGCCTTGGCGCACTTCACCAGGAGTTGATGCTGTGCCATGAGCCTGTGCCATGTGTATCACTGCTGTGTGTTTCCATGACCCTGGCCTCCTTAGTGGTGGTTTGCGGCGGGAAGGTGACTGTGACGGAGTGTACCAACACTGCTCTGACGCTCATGGAGTTACATGTGCTGGGCATGCTGCAAGTGGAGAAAGACTATAGAAGCCCCTGGAGAAGCTCAGACTGGACGACTGTGGAAGGGAAGGAGACGCGGAGAGAGCTCCGGAGCTAGAGGAGCAGATGGGCCCGGCTGAGAGGCTACCTGAGGAGCCCCAGCCCCGGCGTAAGAGGGCGGGAAGGCACATCGGACAAGGAGCGGTAGGGAGCAGCCCGGGGGAGGGTGGGGAATTGCTCTCAGAACGCTCAGCGTGTTGCGGCAGGATTCCCCGCTGAGCAAGCAGTGTACAGTACCACTGCCAACAGGGCCCTGGGCTGGGACCTGATGGAGAGGGAGGACCCAGATCCTCCTATCCCCTCCTTACATATCTCCCTGTGGGGGGGAGATTTACTACTGCTGTATGGACTTAGGCCACAGTGTTGTAATACCCTGACTAAAAGGACTTATACATGGACTAAGGCAAGGCCACTGGACCATATTACTCTGCAGAGGGGGACTTGTGTATGCTTACTGAGGCCAATGGGCTGTAATACTCTGAATACAGGGACATGTATATAAATGGAGGCCACTGGACCATAATACCTTGAATACAGGGGAATTTACATTGGCTGGGACTGCTGGGCCATAATACCCTGCACCCAGGCATGCATATGTTATCTGAAACCGCTGGACTGTAACACCCAGGAGTGGCCCTAGATGAGCTGCTGGCAACTGGCGCCCTAGGCAAAACGCGCAATTGGTGCCCCCACCTCCTAACCCCTCAACAGCCATTTAATTAGGTGCCCTAGGTGACCAACTTGTTCGCGCCTATGGACGGGCCGCCACAGGTAACACCCTGAGTAAAGGCATGTTTATATTTACTAAGGCCATTGGGCTGTGCTGTAAATACACTCCATGATTGCGAGGTCACTCAACCAAGAGAATAAAGTCGAGGGGCCTCGTAGTGCCTGTCACCCCTCAATGTGTCCCACCACAGAATCTGGAGTGAGGCAGGCCTGTCCAGGAGCCCTATGATAAGGAGTGATAGGTTCCTGGGTGGTAGTTTCATGGGGCCGGGGCGGATATAGGGCAGGGTGAATGGGGCGGCCGTGGCAAAGGGGGGGCCCCGCGGAGTTATGCTGCCCGGGGCCCCGTAAAACAGTCATCTGCCCCTGCATGGGGCTGTGTGCTGTGGACTGGCACTCCATGTACACTCGCATGCACAGCCTGTTGTGTGATTCCCCCATCTGAGAAGGCTGAGTGAAGAGCGTGCAGCCCCTTGCAGCCTGCCGCCTGCCCCTGCGTGTAGATAGGGAAAGGAAGAGAACTCACCTGATGTGCCTTCCCCAGCACCATCCAAGCCCTGGGAGACATTCTGGGAGCGGGGCACTGGCTCCAAGGTGATGATCACCTCCTGGCTGATGGGCATCATGTCCAGGCTGGCCTACTGCTTCTCCTTTTCCTCCTCATCCTGGTCCACAGTCCCACCATCCTGGAGGACAGGAATGTCCAGGCCAGAGTCCATGATTGGGGGGGAGGGGGAGAGACTGACACCCGCCTCCCTCCCAGGATGTCATCCAGTTGGGAGTAAAAGTGGCATGTCTGGGGTGCCACTCCAGATCAGGAACTTTGTGCCCGGGCCCTGGCGTAGGCCTGATACAGTTCCTTTATTTTCATCTGCACCTGGTCATGGATGTGGGTGTGCCCCTTCTGTGCCAGGCTGGCAGCCTTCTGGC